ACACACACACACACACACACACACGCATCTTCAACATCATTTGCCCATAGTTTGCCTCACCTATCGGACACGTGAGGCTCCCTCGGCTCGTGGACAATGTCTGCCATCGCACTCACGATTGGTCTTGCCTCCGGCGGCTGTAGTTACCGTTCTCCCAACGCCGCTGTCCTTTTCTCCCACCGGACAGGCAGACAGACAGACAAACAGGCCTGTACCGTGGCAGCAGAGGGACAGGTAAGACCACACCTCTACAGACTTGCTTACGACTGCGCCTGCCTGACTTAGCGCCACGATTGGCTCCTCCATTTCGTGTCGTCGGGGCGACTGCGCCCTGCCCCTCCGCGACACCGTCGTTCTCAGACGGAGTCTGGACTCGATGGCCTTCGCAAGCAACTATCACTCTTACAAAATGTCCACCCCTGTCATCCACACCCTGCACATTTTCAGACAACATGTCATGTTGTTGGGACAAAAACTACATTTTTCGCCGCAGTCCACACTCTCGACAGGGTCGGATGAGAATACGGTTTACGGGAAAACGAACACTTTTGAGAAGATTCGGATCTTCTTTCTAGCTCAAGACGACACAACGTTGAGTGCCCATGTGAATAGGTTTGTGTGGACAATCACAAAACCTCTGGGTAATATGCTATAGTTGCACAAATCTCAACTTGCCTAGCGCAAGATAGTAAAGAACGCTTACAAATAGCGTTTTCCAGTTCACGGGTACCTCCGCTCCACACCCAGGATGACGGAGTTTCATACAATTAAGGACAAAAGACGCCAGCATGCTGCACAGGAGGAACAAGTGTAGGAAATTGAGTGGGAAATAGTTGTGCATGTATGAATGTCTTAGGCGAAGAAGAACGAAAGAGAGAGAGAGAGAGAAAAAGAGATGAAGATAGCTTACTTGGGGCTATCACACCTCTCATGACCTGAACATCACAAGCATACAATACACATCATAACATACCCAAACAGGCGTCAAAATGAGAGGATCGTGAGCAGCCTTATTTAGGCAATGAACTACTTTATTTTCATGCATCCATTTCACTCTTCTGCAAGCATGCAGAGTAGGCAAATCTTTCGACGCTAAATTAAGATAACAAAATTAAAAATAGAAAGTGAATATGATTGCGAGAGTATAATTTCTCGCGCTGACTATGTCTGTCACATCGTCTGTCCATGACGGACAACACTGCTTCAATATGCTAAATCAAGAGAAACAGTGGTCGACTAAAGGCCTATCCAGTTCTCAAAAGCAAATTTGTTTTTTTTCCTATGATTTGGTGTGATTTTATATTTGTTATTTTAAAGGAAAAATTGACTTGAAGGAATTGGTGAAGAAAGACTACATTGGAATGGAGAACCTTAGATTGTATAAAAAAACTCATCGGCTCATCGCAGTCGAATACTATTTCCGATGAGGTCAATTCACGAATTCTTTCCAACCATCTTGTAATCGAAGTAAAAGAAAGTCGAATGAAACTGAAAATAAATCAGTTTCTATGCCCTGTCAACTCTTCACCGTATCTGACCACAATTGAATTAAGGTATTGGACACGGTGAGAAGAGGTCGACAATTGCCATGGGACTTGTCCGGCTTGAAGTGACGTCGTGGAGTCACTTGAATGCGAGTAGGTTCACTCGTGGCAACAG